CACCATTGCATGCCTGTTGCGACTGAGTGGTCTTTTTTTTTTTTTTTTCTCCAAACAGAAACCTTGCGTGGTCAAAGGACAGCACAGGATGAAGTTGGACTGACAATGGGACGATCAGGCACATTACGACAAACAGGGCAACCATCTGGGGTAAACTGTGTTGGTTTGTCTGCACATTTTTATCATTAATTTATGAGCTCAAAATTTATATAGTGTATATTTTTTTGCCTTCTTCATGTCTTCTTTCACTCTAGCCTGAGACATCTGTATGGGAAGTCATGTTATGGTGGCTGCCAGACCTTGATGATGATGACGAAGAGGACAATGATGGACATGTCAAAAGAAGAGAAACGGCACAAGCATCAAGAGGTTTCAGAAACAAGCCAATGCCAGACTCAAAACTCCTGAAGCAAAGAAATGGGAAATTTAAGAGCAGGAGAGCCAAAAAGGCAAATGATGAAAAAGCAAAAATGAAAAAGATAAAAGAGGGGGAACAGAAAGAGGCAGTAGATGAAAAAGATAAGCTTCTAGGAGACGATGAGGAGCTGCCCAAGAAAAGCAAAAAGCTGGAGAAGAATGATAAAATGAAAAAGACTCAAAAGGGATGAGCTGATTCTGTTCTGTGGCAGACAGTTTCTAGTTTTCACTTTCCTCAGTTTGCTAACACAGACATTTTGAATTCGGTACTAGATTTTCTCCATCAAATCTTTCAAACGCTACCACAACTCAACAATACTCATCTAATTGTGATTCTGGTTAAGTTACAAAGCACAAATGTGTTGAAGCTTTGTACTTTGCTTGATTGATGATCTGTGTGATGGAGATTTGATTTACTTGCAAAGTCATAAAAAAAAAATCCACAAAATTTTAAAATACAGCTTCATTTGAAACGTTTGTGTGATCATTTACTCCGTTTGGTGTCATCAGTGGTGCCAGCTTAGTTAACTGTTGACAGTATGAACTTAGAACTTTGTCACATAGAGAATGAATATGGGAAGTTTATGGTTGTCAAAACTTTGACCAACGTATGTAATTTCCAGCTCCCTGCTGGTGTCATCCAATCTTCATGGGCAACTCTGAACTTAAATATTTCAGAAATGTTTGAAGCGCATTTCTTCTGCTACGACCCACTCAAACTATCACTGGATACATCAATAAATCTTTGTGTATGAAATCTTTGTACAGATCTCAGGATGCAACTGTTTTTTCTCCACAGCATTTAATTATAAAAACAGAATGGTAGAAGATGAACCATTTTCCAATCACAGCTCCATGTCCTAAAGCATTTATAGAAAACATGGTCACTTATGTACTATTACAATAAGACTGCCCAATGCATTTACATAAAGAAAAAGATGTACAAAATGTACTTAATTTGGACTTTAAACATCATCTGAAGAAATATAACTGAATGTACTAAATATCTAAAGTACAATGGACATCTCTTCAGGCAGGGCAGTGTGACTGCAGATCATTAAAAAAACAATAATAATCCACTGGTATGGGATCAATTACTAGACATTGTAAGGCCCTCGGGAGGTGGTGGCCTCATTGGCATAGGGGGTAAGGGCATCTGAGGAGGCATCTGGGGCACACCTGGCGCACCAGGTGGTAGAGGGGGGACAGGCATCCCTCCTGGTGGGGGAGGGGGCATAGACTCATTTGGTGGGCGAGGCCCAACTCCACTCATAAGAGGAGGGGGCCGCTTCACACCTGCAGGTGGTGCTGGCCCACTGGACTGGGGAATGGCTTTCTCCATTTTGAAGTGAAACTGCAGGAAGAACTGGAAGGAAAAGAGACTGGTCAAATCACAGGTCAAATTTCCTGTATTCAAAATACCCAGGCCTGGCTTTGTGGTAACAAATGCTCATCAGCCAATCAGTACCTGTTTAGTTTCTTTGTTCCAGTGGGTCCAGAAGCGGTTTTCTGCTTTGTCAATTTCTCTACTGGGGACCTAAAATAGCAACAGTGTAGTGAAAACAAGAACATTATTATAAAAGCAGGGAGACAAGTAGAGCTGCCCTGTAACAGTCGACTAGTCGAGAGACCTGTCAGTCGACTGAGGCTCTTCATGTCAAGCCTTTGTTTGATTTATTTTTTGTTAGCCAGTGTGCTTTACAATAGAAGGCAGCCCCAGCCAGTAGTTTGTCATCTGCTTCTCCTCATTTTGGTGTGCCAAGCAGCAATTTGCTTAATGCTCCCCGCTGTGGTCGGGGGAGAATACCTAGTTCAGCGCTGACACTGTCCGATACATGGATGTGCATTAAAGTCAGATTTATTTAGCAAATTGCAGAATGAGGAGAAAAGGACAACAAAACCCACATAAGGTGAGATCTGGACTTTTATTACAAGTGCTTTCAAACATCGTAGTCTCTCTTCACAAGAGAAAAGACCATCGTGATGATCTCTGTTAAAGTGCAGCACAGAGCTGTTTACCACCTGTTTCTGTGACATGCATCCATCGGAATGGGACTAGGAAGCTAACAAAAATGTGCAGAGAAAACATTTCAGTGAGGAATTATAAACAAGAACAATCATTTGCAGGGCAAGCTGGCACACACAGACACACAGTAACAACATGCACTGTAGTTAACTGATGGGAGAAGCTTAAACTTGTTGGTAAACAAGGCTATAACCATGTCTCAGAAGAAAAAAAAACCCCTAAGAGCTACCTGTTAATTATTCTGACAAATCCATATGGCCAACGTTGTATATCATCAATTTAAACAGATTACAATTTAACTCTTGGATCACATCCAGTTGTTTTATTGATTTTTAATGCTCAGAAATATGTTCTTGTCATTCTTTTGCATTTAAATACAATGTTAATGTGGCTGAAATCATGACTGAAATTCATGCCAGTTGATTTTCTGACAGTCTAGGCTATATATACACATATATTTAAAAAAAAAGAAAAAGAAAAATAATGAATAGTTGAACAGTTGCACTGAAGAGCCAACTGACAGTCGAATGACAAAATCCTTATTCAGCTACAGCCCTAGAGACAGGAGTGCAGGTTCCACTCACCTTGAAGGCAATAGTCTCGTATGGCTCAGCAGCCAGCAGCAAGTACTGCCAGCGACGATCGGGAGGCTCAATGCGCTGCTCATATGCAGACATGAAACGATGCCTGGGTCCAATTCCTTCAGCTATCTCTGGGTAGTCAATCTGATGGACAGAGCAAAGAAAAACAGGCAGTTTACAGATCTGACTTTAGAAATAATATATTTAATCATCACTGCTGCAGTAAAGAGTTTGTAATACGACGACATGCTCTGAATCCTGTGACACCATTTCTCTGCATTTTTCAAATGATGTGGTGTTGCTGGCTTCATTAGACTGAGCTTCAGCATTCAGCATGCACTCAGATGGAAAGGTAGAAAAGACTGAATAACAACAGAAAGGCTGCAGGTGGAAGACTGCTGTGTGTGTGTGTGTGTGTGTGTGTGTGTGTGTGTGTGTGTGTGTGTGTGTGTGCGCGCGCGCGCGCGCGCGTGTGTGGACGTGTTTTTCCTGCTACGTGGGGACTTCTTCCTGACTCCATACCAACTCATGAGGACCCATTTCACGGTGGGGAC